AGAGCTTGAAGAATGCCTGTCTCGCCATGAGTCCTCTGTTCCTGGGCGTACACTCTGGGACTTGTTTCTGAAGAACCTCTGGTCCATCGACTCGCTGGATGCGCTAGAAACCTTCTTCGGCGAGGTCATCCCGTCGCTCCTGGCTAAATCACGCGACGAATTGATCCATGACAGGGATAATGGAATTCCACCAGTGGAAGATGATCGCATGCGCTTGTCTAGGAGCTCGCCACTTGGTGCGTTCGTACGCAGAGCTTATCTTGAATACACGCGGCTACAGTTTCATGATTCTGTGAAGCTCTGGGCGGGATTTGTCAAATACCGTCTACCCACATACAGTTACTGGAGTCGCAGACATCCCGAGGCTGATCAAATCGCGGTTGATGTTAATCTACGCGACCTAGGGCTGGATTCAACCAGCTACCTTTCACAGGTGGTATATGGTGACATCGAAGATGACGAGGATGGAGAGGGAGAAGTCAGCGTCAAGGATGCAGAGCGACTGATCGAATTCCAAGTCGGTGAACTGCAAAGTATGCAATTTTCTCCGGCTACAATGACCACGTGCTGACAGATATAGGAATGGGAGGGAGAGTTCCGGATGAAATGAGGGCTCAGCTGAAACGCATCATGACCTCAGAGTCTTCAGTCCCAGTAATGATGTATTACCTGGAGTACGTTCTTGCATATATTATTATGGAGGTATTGTAATTGACAAATGACAGATATCTTGACGCCTGGAGGGCTGGAGACTATACCTCGGCCTTTGACAATCTCCACCGCTATTTCGACTACACCATGCACGCAAATCTCGACCGCAGTGCATATCAATTTGCCCTTCTGAACCTGGCTATCATGCAAGCAGATTTTGAGTGTTTCAGTGAAGCTATCTCAGCCGTGCAAGAGGCCGTAGCGATTGCTCGCGAGTCTCATGACATGAACTGCCTGAACTTCTGCATGAGCTGGATGTATCACTTTGGCAAAGCTTTTCCCGAGCAGATGCGGGAAGTTCAGAACAGTGGGATGCTGGGTAATGAGAAAGAGGGCCTCGCTTTTCTCAAGGCCAAGTCTAAGGAAACTGACATGTGGTCTCTCATGGGCACCACATTACTTAGCGAGGCTAAGTTGGAGATGCAGCAAGTAAGGATCTATGTTTCCTTTGACTAAGTTGATGCTAATGATGAGCAGGGAGAGAGCCTTGCATCAATTGTCGAAACCTTCGTGCGAGCATCCCACGTCAATGTGACAAAGGGCGGTTCAACTCCCACGGGTGCATACATGCTGTTACAAGGCGCCATGTACGCCAGAATAGGTATGATGCTAAGTGTATAGTAATTGTGATGACGCTAATCAGCCGACAGGAGCTACACACCTTGCTTGGCTGAACACCGAGATATTCCGCGAGTGCTATTCGGAGGGCCAACCTCATGATGACTTTGTCAAGATCACATTCCGAAATTGCCAAATAGTATGTCAACCTTTTTCTGAATTTGTATGACAGAAATGCTAATTCATCACCTACAGTTGGCACAGAAAGGCAATTACAAGGAGGCATTCACACGGATGAACAAAATCGACCCAGAGAAGCTCCGAGCTTTCAGATACAACAACGCCTGGACTTTCTTTTCAGGGTTACTGCAATTGCGAAGACAAATCTGTCGGTAAGTACAACCATATGACTTCTTACAGATCTATTCCTAACATCCTGCAGCGACGACAAAGTGGCCGTCGAACACATTATATCCCAACTCCAGGCAGTGCAACTCCGTGACTTCGACATGCGCCTACTTCTAGCATTTTATTCAATAGACTTCACCATGCGCCAAGGCGACTACGGTCGCGCGCTGAGAATGGTCGAGCAAGCCGCGCACTCTATGCAACCAGAGAACTTCGACGTCCACTCCCAAGTCAAGCTCCTCTGCCTAAAAGCACAAATCCTCGGCAAATCCGGCCAACCGCAACGCGGCTTCTCCCTCGCGATGCGCGCAGCCAACATCGCACATCGCTCAAAAGTCCTCGCCGACCTGTGGGAATCTATCTGCACACTAGCGACAGTGTTGCTAAGTCTTCGTGAATTCGAAGCCACGGGCGAACTAGTCGAGAGCATAATGCCCCAGGTCCTGGAGTCGGAAAATTTCAGTCTCATCGCGCAGGCGTACTCACTTCTCGTGGATGCAAATATGGGCATGGCGGGTGAGTTGTGGAGCTTGCAGGGTCGGGACTCGACGTCTGCGAGAAAAGAGTACATCAACCGTGCTCTTGGATATATTGACTCGGCGTATGATCATTTCGAGGAAATCGAGGATATCAAGGGCCAGACGGAGATGATGGCCAAGAAGGCTACTGTTATGCACCTTACGGGCGATCCGGTATTGGCTAATGATTATGCTGCCAAGTACCTGGATCTGCGGAGACTACGAAGTGAAACATGATACCTCACAGAAACAATAATATACCTTCAAAATTGTCTGCTTGTCGTTTAGAGAGTGAGGCAAATATATGTATCAACGGTTTATATCTTATCCCTCAGGTTTCTCACTCAAAATTACTAGCTGGAATCACAATCCCAGGCCTTCATTATCTCCTTTTTCACTATTGCATTGCAATACAGACTGCCCCAGAGCCTTGTACCTGGTTACACCCCTAACCAGGATTGCCAGCCCCTAATACCTACCTACCTAAGCCCACCCGCCAGAGACCACCTTTCTTATATTTTCACCCGTGGACTACGTGAAGTTCTAACATTTAAGCTCTGCCATACCACTATTGAAGATCGAAAGTATGATACGCTTGTTCCAGCCCCTCTTAATCCTTCTCTCTGCCCTCCTCGCAACTGTCAAAGCCGAAAAGACCAATTATATGATCAACCCTGTCTACATCAACGGAAAAAGTCCAGTTTGGACACTCGGCGACCAGAAAGTGGTTGCATGGAAAACAGACCTACCAGTGTTCAACGTATCTATATGGCAGCAGAATCCATTAGGGGGAGGCGCCTACACTCGAGGCAACGTATACGGTATGCCCAGAGAAGAACCGAAAACAAGAAACCAGACTAACAAGAGCCAGCCCAAGTCCACGAAAAAGACCATGTATCGAACTTCACCTGGACTGTCCAACTCTACGGCTTCGATTTGGATTATTCACCCACGTTCTTTTTCTAGATCAACCCCGGACCAGGCGGTTTCTCCTCGGCGTATTTCAACATAACCAGAAGATCATCGACGGCAAAGACCACCGCTTCGATCCCAGTCAATTCGAATTTGGCGTCTTCGTCCCCTTCCTCTGATAATACCGTCGGTCCGACCGGTCAAACGCTAGCACTCACAACGACGGCAAAGCTTGCACTCGGACTCGGCGTTGGGATAGGCGTCCCTATACTACTTGCAATGGCTGCACTGGTTCGGTTGAGAGCTAGGCAATTAAGAGCAACACAGCAGGCTACAGCTAGCATGGGCGTTCCTCATGGGACGGAAATGCAACAACGACAACCACATATGCATGTAAGAGAGATACATGGTACCGACCCGACTGAGTTTTGTCAGGAGTTGCCTCAGGATGCTGCCGGAAAACCACTTCGCCCTGAATTACCGGATCAGCGTTATGATTGAGGGATATATATGATGGGTTACATATTCCGTCGCGAAGCAGAGACCGATAACGCACGAGTAGAGTGATCGAGGTCCGAAAGGCACTTTGAAGGAGGGTCACAACGTACGGGAATTGTTGAACGGGGCTCATGACCAGACTCGCTCGCGGGGTCAATCGGCAATCGTGCCGGTGTACAAGTCATTTCCCGCGCGGGCCACCGTCGGTTTGGGCCGGTCAAACCCTCGGGACGATATCGCCCCTAGGGGCTTGTTATAGCCGAGGGTCCCTAGACCGGAGGATGCGCTTCGGCTACGCTAGCAGAATGGCAAATGGCGTGTCTTGAAACAGGGACCGAGGGTCTAACATCTGTCCGAGTGTTCGGGTATTGCGGGGGGAGAGTCGGGACAGTGATCGGAGGGAGTTCTTACACTTACAGGTGCACTATCGACCGATCTTGGACTTTTCGGATGGATTTGAGTAGGAGTGTAGCTGTGTGGATCTTGACGAAGGTGAACTATGTCTGAATAGGGCGAAGCTAGCTGATTATACTCGACCACATTGGAGGATTGACGCAGAAGATTGGCGTGAAGAGGGTGGAAGATCGACAGGGAGGAAGCTTTCCTCTGGAGTATGTACAGAAGCTTATATTCAACCTTTAAATGAGTGAGATGAGAATATCTAGGGCTAGAACGATGTCTCTTCAATGTTGCCATAAGTCTAGAATAGATATCTATACTTGTTCCTACAAAATCAATAGTATCATTTAGTTATTCTTCCATTCGGATATCCAATCCTTCACGGAAGAACGCCAAAAGGCTTACCATGTATAACCGAGATATGCGAGATCGGTTATACTCTTTCGTACTTCGCTCTCCAAGATATAAGGAATGCGGGGACAAGCAGTGGTCCATGCATCCAATGGCGTTGCTTTCCGTCTTAAGCCGAGACGATACCCGATCTCTCTCACCCGAATTCCGAATGGGGAAGTTTTGACGTTCAGCGTGGGGGTTGATATCGGCTGCTCCACATTCCAGTAACGTGGCATTCGGCCGAGTCGGGTCGATTTGCTAGATATTGAGGTTTGTGGTGTAGAATATAGGGGTAAATGAGTTATGTGTAGATATATAAAGGCTCTACATAGCCACCTCTTTAGTTACCTCTTTATATATCCCCCTTTAAACAAAGAAAACCCCCACTCGGAGTTATGACCTCCGTTATGGAGTACCCGGGGAGAACTGAGCTCCGGTGTGTTAACCGGAATCCGAACTCTATCAGAAATATTAGCCCTATTTGGAGTACATAGCTTCGGAGTAAGGAGTATACTAATCTTGCTGAAAGGATTTTACCATGTAGCCCATAAAATCCTCATTTCATACTCCTGGAATCTCAATTCCACTTATAAACTATACACAATGCTGAAACTCCCATCCCCAACCTCCACCTCCCTAGAAACCAAACGAACCAGTCCACACCCCAACTCCAAAACAGTGAAAACAAATCGCAGAAACCCTCCAACCTCCCCACCGCTCACATCAGACCAAAACCAAAACCCAACCCCAAAACCCACCGCAAACGAACCCACCGAACCCCCAGCGCCCCCCTTCCGCAGCGTCTCCGCCTGCAACAGATGTCGCATCCGCAAACACCGCTGCGACCAGCGCCTCCCGCGCTGCGAGTCCTGCGAAAAAGCCCAAGTGCGCTGCGTGGGCTATGACCCCCTCACAAAACAAGAAGTGCCACGCAGCTACGTAGCCTTCCTCGAAAGCCGCGTGAACTACCTCAACCAAGTACTGACCGACCACGGCATCGGCTTCAAGCCCGCGATCGCCTACGACGAGGAAGAAGCGCTGAAGATGGAAGCCGGGCAGTCGCCGCGGTTTGAGGCGCGCGGGCTGCGGGAGAGTCGAGAACGTGAGCGTGAGCGCGAACGCGAACGAGAACGGGATCGGGAACAGGAACCCGAGATGGGAATCGGGATGGGAATCGGCGCGCGCGGAGCCCGTAAGAGGAAACAGTATCCCGAGGACGCGATCCCGGCTAGACAGGTCAAGCGCTTGGCGCAGTTAAACGTCCTGCTTACGGAGTTGTTGACTGATGGGTGTGAGCATCGGTATTGTTCGCGCGACCCGGGTGGTTATGGGCGTGCTGGTGCGCGTAGGCAGCGTGGATCGGAGGATAAGGATGCGCTTGAGCAGAGGTTGCCGTGGTCGCCGCGGAGTTTTGATTCCGTTGATCATAGTGATAGCCGTGCGAGGTCTGAGTCGCCGGCGTCTTCGGAGCCGTATCATTATCCTAGGCGGACGACTGGGCGTGGTTCGTCGCTGCTTGGTGTCAAGGCTGTGGGAGCCGATGGGCGTGAAGTACATGATGCTGAGAGACAGACTGGGGCTGAGGTTGATATGGTAGAGTTCGAGTCTGGGATACCCAGTACTAAGCCTGTTGAAGGGAACACTGATGTCGTTCGACATATGGATGTTCCCAGTCGGGCTTCGTCGCCGGAGAAGGAGGGCTCTAGACCTGAGCCCAGTTTTGATATTGCTGCTGATCTTCTTCGGGGACGGAGGGAGAGGGAGAGGACTAATTATGATTTGTTGGATGAATTTCTTGTTGATTGGGTTGAGTGATTGGTTTTGGGAGATTGTATATGTATAAATGAATGTAATGTTAGCGGGATAATTTGATTAGGATATAGTTCGTTCATACACTTGCTAGCGAGTAATCAAGCTGGGCATATCAGACTTGGAGGTATCCATCCTTCGAAGGCCAAAGATAGTTGTAAAACATAGAAGTATCCATTCTGTTAAGGCTAAAATCCACACAAGAAACACATGCACAATCATTATCATCAACACAATGCGACGCAATATCAAACTATATACAATAAACATCTCCACTTAAACCCCCAGCTCTATACAGCAATAGCCGTTACCGTAGAGAGCCCAGAACCCATAGAGTCCTTGAAAGTATCGACCTTGTAGTCAGACACACCAGTACGGAAAGCATTATCCTGCTCCTGGCCAACAGGAAGATCATGCTTGGCAGGCCAGATCTGATGACCCGCAGCCTCCTCCTTAGCAAAGTGTTCCGTAACAACATCACGAACAGTCTTCTGGAAATGAAGCGGACCCTTCTCCATCTCGGGATGAAGCTGGCCATTGACAAAGACACCGGTGTTGAGGTTCTTCTGCGTGTGCATGCACAGATACTTGTCCTCCGACATGATGCGCTTGTAGATGTCGCTGATGAGGTTGAAGTTCTCGTCGGTGGCGTCCTTGTGACGGTAGACCTCGTAGCGCATAACACATTGCGTCGGGCTGGTCGGGGTGAATCGCTGCATGAAGAAGAAATTGGGACTGGGAGTTCAATGTTAGTGTTTATTATAATTATAATAGAAGGATACCATATCCTATACTCACGAGATATTGAAGGAGGCATTCGGCCAGAAGTAGGTAACTGCAATGTTGAAACCCTTCGCAACCTGGTCGGGTCGCTGGGCGCCGTAATGCTGGATGTGGCCGTCCTTGGTCTTGACATAGTAGGAGTTGAGGTCGGCGATGGTAGGGATATCGGGGTGCGCGACCTGGCAGTGGTAGCACTCATTGTAGTTGTCGGCCAGGATCTTCCAGTTGAAATCGCCCGCCATATCCCAAGTGTGATCGAAGGAGTAGTCCTCGAAGTTGTACTGCTTGAACCGGGGCTGCTCGTCGACGCCCTCGAAGTCGTCTTTCCAGGCGACCTCGGGGGTTTCGCTGGCGTCTAGGTTCACCCAGACGAATCCGTTTCGGTCGATGTGCACATGCGCGGGGAAGAGATCGTTGCTGTGGTATGCAATGATGTTTCCGTTGTTGTCTTTGGCGACGACGAACTCGTAGCCCGCGGCGTCATATGTGATACTGTCGCCGTTCTTGGGGACTCGGTGCTTGTGTGTGGTGAGAAGCCACTTTCGGGAGAAGATGGAGCGTCGTTCGAGCTCGTACATCTCCGGCGATGTGTACCAGGAGGCGGGCAGGGCACGGATGGGCTTCTTCTCTTCCTTCGCCGGGACAGCGGAGGTACCGAAGTAGTTCCTTAGGAAGGACATTGTGAATACAATTCGAAGAGATGGTAGTTGGATAGAAAGAAGAGTGGTGACTGCGTTGCTATACTAAATCTAAAGACGGAGACGTCTGCTCTTCTATATAGCCATCGCAATCACAACTATCTCATGAAATTCGGAGCGTGGACCAATCCAATCCGACGCATAACCGGATCTCGACCTTCGAATCCGAGCCCGGTGACATGGCTGGAGGCTGATTGTATTCAGATAGCCATTCCTTGCGGGAGATATACCTAAAAACCGATCAGGTGACCGGGCTGGAAACCGGACCGAGTGGCTGAAGCCTATCAAAGGCGCCTCTCGTCACAAAGACTCCTGGACTGCTGGCAAGCCGGGCAGCTGATAAAGTCCCGACCCGTCAGCGGTTCGGGGTAAATCCGATCAACGCCGGCGGTTTAGACATACCTTAAATGGAAGTGTTTGTCCATGAGTGGGAATCTGGGGTATGAGAGCCACAAGAGAAGACTGTGGACATTGGCCAATGGCAATGACCACATTTGAACGTATGATTCATTCATTTCCGGCATTGCCGCCAGACTAGTCACGAGAACTAGAACTAGCAGGTCGCGATCCTTCAAGGTGGCTTTTGCGAGGCTTTCTAAAGCGAACCAACATCATCCATGATTCATTGTGGGATCAACAAAGGTTCCTCGATTGAAACTGGCTAATTATTGACAAAGATTCAGAAAGAGAAAAGATTCACGAGGATTCTTTCGCCAAGAAGATGTTTCAGGGCGAGAGAATCAGTGGCCAATAAAGACCAAGTCTCAGGGCTACCGTCTGAGCTAGTAACAAACCCTTGTATCTTTCGATATTAATCTTAATGAAGAGAAAGTCCAAATAATAATTATCTGTCTCACTTTTGAGTCAAGCTTTCAACGTTATGTCGCTCTCTGCACAAGCTCTGGCTAAGCAACGTCAGCAGAATAGCGGTGACGCGCAGACTATAAAAAGAACATGTCCAATAAATGGCAGATCAAGACGCGTGGGCGATCAATAGCACTAGATAAGCAATAAAGCAGAGAGAGTAAATAACCGTTGACACGGCAAATGGGCTATCAGGCCAGGCCTCAATGCAGAATTAATTAATATCGCGGATTGGCGCATTTGGCTGAAGGCAAGTCAAAGTCTCAGATAGCCAACCCGCGTTGGTCCGAAATTAAATCCAGCGCCTAGACCAGTCTGGAGATGATTGGCCGAAAGGGGCACGTAGAAGGTTGTACTCCGTGCGTATCGACTATTTATGCATGGAGTACTACACAGCCCCGGCGATAAGTCATTTTGGAGTTGATCAACATATGTATTCATGTATAACGAAGATCGAATATGCAGTAGAGTGATTGTACACCGGAAAGACACAAAGCTTAAACGCCATTCCCCAGGTGTAGATAGATACATATAAGATAAAGGATCGGGATTGAAGCATGTGACACGTTAGCTATGCAGACAGATTTCCAAACCAGGAAATCAGAGAATTAGAACATAAACGAGTAGATGAAGACCAAAATCGTGACCACGGTGGCAACCGTGTATTCAAGCTCGAACCAAGCGGCCTGGCCACCGAAGGCGATCTTTTTACTCTTCTTCGTCGGGTGCGCCACACCAGTCTTGGGGTCACGTGTAAGGAGTTCTTCACGCTCTGGCATGCGTGGCGGGTCGATCGCATACGAGACCGGGGTCCACAGCGAAGTGCAGATGAAAAGGAAGGTCAGCGGGGGCCAGAATGCGTGCGTGATGAGGCAGAGGATGATATCTCGGAAGCCACTGTTCTGGGCGAAACAGCGGTAAGAGGAGATGACGACTCCGATGAGGGTGACGTAGACAAAGGCAAGGTGGAAGCTGGCCATGTAGTTGAGCAGGATCACGCGGAGGCGGACGAACATGTTCTTGGACTTGTTTGGGTCGCGCTCGTTCAGAGCTGAGCCTAGCGAACCAGTAGGCTTGAAGGCTTGGGTTTGACCGCCCAGCCAAGTGGGGAGGATGAAGGCGCGCACAATACAGAGAGCGATATAGGGTGACATCCAAAGCTGATAGCGGGAGCCTCGTTGGCCGGTGTTATAGCCGGCTGGGATGAACAGGGCCAGTTCACACAGACGGTTGGAAATAGTGGCGGCGAAGCAGGACCAGATCAGCCAGCGGAGTTGCTCTTCTGTCGCAAAGGCGACGAGGCGCTTGCCCCACAAGAGGATGATCGGGATAGCAAAGAGGGAAGCGGTGAGTAGGAGGGTGTAGACACTGAGAGTTGCATAGAGGAAGCCGGAGAATCGTTGAGCAGCGGTCATCTGTCGAACGGCGTCACCCCAGAGACAGAACTTCAGCTTGGCAGCGGTGTCGACGGTTCCAATTGCCCATCGCGTACGCTGCTTGAGATGTCCACCAAAGTCTTCCGGCACGGTACCAAATTGAAGCGGCTCGTGGATGTATGCGGTTTTCCATCCTTTGCCAAGCATGAGTGTGGAGGTCGCGACATCTTCAGCCAAGGAACCGAGCGGGAAGTTGCCAATCTCTTCGAGCGCCTCGCGTCGAACGACGTAACCAGATCCAGTGCACCAAGCCACACCGAGGGCATCCTTGATCGGCTCAATAACATGCACGAAGAAATCCAAACTCTGGGCAAGCGGGTCGGATGCAGGGGTATTGTAGAAAAGCTGCGGCGGGCATGCAAGGGCCATTTTGGGATCCACCAACAAGTGGGGAAGAATCGCACGAAGCCACTCTTGTTCAGGAATCTGCAGATTGTCAGTCAGTACAGGAATTTCAATTTCAATGTAGGCCGGGATCTGTAATTTACCATATCAGCGTCCAGGGCGGCCATGAACTGGCCGGCGCCTCCAGGCAGAAGGTTGACCTGCTCCAGACCGTAGTTCAGATTACCTGCCTTGAAGTGGTGGGGTTTTCCGGGGATCTTTTCACGAGCCATGTAAATGATGTTGGGATGATTCACAGCGAGTTGGTTGCAGCCAGCCTCGAGGGTGGCAGACTTGGCGTCGTCCAAGATGACAACCCTCATCTGGTCGGGAGGGTAGTCCTGGTCACACGCACCACGGACAGTATCGAGGACAACTTCATCATCCTCTCCACAGCAGGTAATAAACACATCCACTGTCGGACAGTCATTGCCGGTCAATCTCAGCTTGGCACGGCCTCTCTTCTTCAACGCCATCATAGTCCAACAGTTGTGCATGAGGGAGGGGATTGCAACAGTGATCTCAATAGCCACAAAAACCCAAGCTCCGGCATATGAAACTCCAGAAACATTTTGAGCCATGATAATGCAGGCAATTCTCAGCCCAAGGTAGAACAAGTAGATTCCGGTGTTGGCGAATGTGAGAAACGGTACCAGGGCAAATACCCATCTCTTCCACCCTTTCCATGTATCCGCATCATCACGGTCGTTAATTCGAGCAATCGATCCAGACTTGACCCAATCCTTTGCAAATCCCGGGGGAGCCGGGGAGCTCACTAGGGGAGCTAGACTCTGGTGGCTTTCTTGCACTCCATTGTTTTGGTACTGTACGGGAAAACGGTTAGGCTGGATCTATACCGACAACAAAGAGACCAAAGAAACAAAGACGGACTGTACTAACTAGAGTTGGTGAAGCCGACCGGGAATCATACGGCGTTCGTAGGTCCCAGGACGAGTTGTGAAAGGAATCGGAGTTGCCCGACATTCGAGCGGTGGGTTGAAGCCAAACGGGTTGCCCGTATTCATCGGTAGGGAAATGACCCGGTCTGACTGGAGTAAGAGGCCTTGGAGTTATTGGTGAGGGTGAAAAAGGCTGAGATTCGAAGCTGTGGTTTGAATGGTTGGCGGGATAGGCATTCAGTTCTACCTTTTCGTCCTCGTCATGACCACCACGCCTGTCCATATCGACAGAAAGGCTATAGATTATGTAAAGTCAAAAAGGTGAGGAATGTATATTGAAAGCGTTGGAAGGGGTAGAAACGTCGAAAACGAGTGTGATCAGCCCTGAGAGCTGGAATGGAAGGATGGAAGAGAAAAGGTCTCACATTCCTAGTAAAGAAGAATACGAAACCAGCGATCTCTAAGGGACCAGCTGGTTAAGCCCTGGGACTAGCGCATGCCAAGGACCGAGGTGCATGGCCGCTTTAGGCCCGAGCCGCAAAAATAGATTCTGGTGAAATTTTCAACGTAACTTTCACTGTGAGCAGTGGTTTCTTACGGGGTTTGAGTTTGTGGTAATTTTTGGTTGCATCAAAGTGGGTCTTTGAATAATCTATTTTCTCTTTTTAGCAATTTTAGCAATTCTAACCATGGTTCCATGTTTTCATCTATAATTTTGCCACTGAATTGAGCCAATCATAAATACAAATTCAGTAAAAGTGCCATCGGTAAATGATGTGGTTCCGTACCTGCTGTACCAGATTGTACCTGCTGTACCTGAAGTACCAGATTATACTAATTGTCCTGATTGTACCTGAATCCCCCCGTAATATACAAGTCATGAGCACACCATTACCACGCTAACCTTGACTTACCCCACTCAGGCCCTTTTCTTATCAACAAGATTTGTGTGGTCAACGCTTAGTTCTCGATCGCCCTAGACAGACTAACCCGATGCATCTCCATCCACCCGTTCACATCTTCCGATGTGAGGCCGAGAATTTCAGTTGCTAATTCGCTGTACTTCGTACTTGCTGCTCGCTTTTCCTTCATCATTTTCACTCTCGCTTAGTTTCTTGTTTTATACTACTCTCATTTTTGGTCATGGTCGTCGCATTAGGACTACTGGTCAATGCGGTCCTGGTGGGCATCCCAGTTGGGGGATGCGTTGGAGCTCTAATGGGTATTGATGCCCACCGAGCAGCGAATGGTCAGAAACCTCTATTCACCGGGGGGGACACTGACGATGGCATCAGCACTGGCGGTGGCAGCTCTGGCGGCAACTCTGGCAGCGACAGCACTGGCGGCGGCGGTAGTGGTCATCACACTGTCACGAACAATGGCGTGTCGAGCACCCAGTACTGCAATCATTCAATCGGAATCAGTCCACCGTCGAAATCCGGACAATACACGCGTTAGTGCTCTTGGATTACCAGCGCAGGCGCTGTTGACTTGAACGACGACTGACGGGATTACAGTGAACCCAAATCAATGGGGTGTGACATCAACATCAACAGGAAACGGGCTCTGCATGAATGTACGCATCGAACATCTATCTTCACTTCTACAGAGGACGTACTAATGTATCATCTGATCTAGGTCACGACATTCGTCAACGAGACTTATCCAACCCAAACCGCGCCCGAGTTCTCCATCACCTGGCAATTCGACCCTGGCCCAGAGAATGCGCCTGTCCACGGATACCCCAATATTCGCGTCGATGATGTGTTGCCAAAGGCGATGGACACGATCTCCGAATTATATCTTGACCTGCATTGGACATATGGACTGGGTGACGAGATCGCCGAGTCAACAGATGTAGAAGCGTTGGCAGCTGAAACCCTTGCCACTAACGTCGCCATTGATATGTTCTTGGACACCGATGCCGACAAAGCCAAGAACGAAACTAATGCGAAATTCGAGGTCATGGTTTGGTTCTGGATGTCAAACGAGATTGCTCAACCCCATGGTTGGGGGAGCCCAGTAATTAACAGGACCTTGGAAGGAACGGAATTGTGAGTTGAAAGTTGAACTGGTACCTGACATATATGCTAACATGATTTCAGCACGCTTTACACCGGTCAAAATGACAATGGACAGCTAGTCTTGTCCTGGGTCGCGGACACGATCCTTGAGAGGTTCACTGGAGACATTTATCCTCTCATCACCGATCTGTACAACTTGGAAGGAAGTACCTACCCGGCTAAAGACGACTACCTTGGCAGTCTCAGTTTCGGAACCGAAACCTACTCCGTGGACCACAATGTCACATTCTGGGCCGAGGAGTACAAGATCGACATTAGGAGTTGAGGAAGGGGTGTACATTGTATGATTATGAGCATTTATTTTTTAGGGGTTTTCACTTCACATCGATACACATCAAGCGTTACACATCATGTCAGTTTTGATCAGTTCGGAAATTCAACTTCATTTTATATTCGATACTTAGGGCCCGGGCCTTCAACCTCTGGAACATCACAATCTTTCAAAGTTCATTTAATGATGAATTTGATCATTCAAGATAAGCTAGTTTCAATTTTTCAAGTCACTAACGAGAGGTATGCATATCAGACTCGGCCAGTCTCCGCGATTCGCAATTTCTCCGCAGTATGAAGCAGCGGAGATGACAGATGACACCATCAGGCGTGATAATCGTCGCATCTTCCATTATCGGGGCTTGCACAGCCAAAATGACCACAGAGGGTCAGCTTGGATATTTGCTTCCAGCTGTACATCCCGTGCGAGATTCAAACGACTCAAATATACTCAAATATGGAGAACGTACGCGCAATTGATACCAAGTCGATCCATCAGGTATCCAACCATGAATTCCAACCCAATACAGAGCTACAGGATGGACTATGGCTCCGGTTCCTTACGTATACCAAGTGGTATCCAAAGGACATGCCACACCCGGAGAAAAAGCTGGTGCTCAAACTGGATATCATGATTCTAATCTTCGGCTGCCTTTCATTCTTCACCAAATACCTTGACCAGCAGGCGATCACCAATGCCTATGTGTCGTATGTCATACCCTCAGTGTAACAAACCCCCCTTACTAACACCTAATAGAGGCATGAAAGAAGACCTCAATCTGCACGGCAACGAATTGAACTACATAACAGCGGTATTCTGGGCCTCGTATTGCACCTCCATGATACCGGCCTGCTACTTCCTAACGCGCACGCGGATCAACATTGCCTTGCCGACTCTGGAAATAGGATGGGGACTATTCACGTTTGGCTGTGCGTGGGCGCAGAATCTAAATACGATATACGCAATGCGCTTCTTCATCGGGATCTGCGAGTCTTGCTCCTTCACCGGCGTCATCTATGTCATCGGCTCGTGGTATAAGCCCGGGGAGGTGACGCGGCGGGTTGCGCTTTTCTTTATCGCTTCTCCACTCGGGACTATGTTCGCGGGATACTTGCAGGCTGCTGCCTATACGAATTTGGAGGGGAGGCATGGATTGCCTGGGTGGAGGTTTGAATCTAATTATATGGTGATGTTCATGATACTGACCCGTTGCAGATGGTTGTTCATTATTTGCACTATTATCACAATTCCTATTTGCATTCTGTAAGTGCCCTATTCCGAGGTTGTTCACTGTTCGTCTAACACAAACCAGTGGATATATCGTTTTCCCAGATGTTCCTCACCGCGCAAAGCCACGGTTCCTAACTGCGACCGAGCACGATATTGCCAATATTCGTCTGAAAGGTCTAACAGCGCCGAGCGAGCTGAAAGTCTCCCGGGCCATCTTCAAGCGAGTCTTCGGACGATGGCATTGGTATGTCTTTGTCCTGCATTGGACCTTAATGGATCAGAACTTCACGCCATACTCGACGCCCTTTAGCCTCTATCTCAAGGCCAAACCAGACGTCTACTCCGTCTCACGGGTGAACACGTTGCCGACAATCGCAACGGCGCTGTCTGTCGTAGCCGCACTAATAGCAGGCGTTACCGCCGATCGCCTGCGAAACTTTTGGATTCCTTCGGTGGCGACCAGTATTCCTGTCCTGGTGGGTGTGGTTTTGCTCGTTGTCTATAATGTCGGCGAAACGGGGCGACTAGCGGGGTTTATCCTCACGGGATTCGAGGGCGGTATGTGGATTTCAAGACAGGCTCTGGTCTTGTCTGTTATTATCAAAAACGGCGATGCTAACTCTGTCACAGCAATTAGTCCGCTCAGTATGAGTTGGGCGACTATCACCATGGCCAAGGATGCCGAAGAACGCGCTATCGTCACGGCAAGCATGAATGCAATCGGCCAGGCCATGGCAGCATGGACACAGATATTTCAGTATCCGGCTGTTTCTGCCCCAGACTTTCGAGCGGGATTCATTTCGAATTTGGTCACCACTGTCGCACAATTCCTGAGTGTTGGCCTGATCGCCTTTCTGGCGAATCGCGACGCGCGAAAAGAGCGATTGTTGTCCAATGTGTGAGGATTGAACTGCCTCATATGCAATACAAGAAAATGCCCTCTAAGCTGAAAATTGCACAACCTGTCACGCCACTCCACAGGGTTGCTGTCCAAATCCCGAAGCTAGTCAAAACCCGGTGATCAGGACGTTGCGATGTGTCAAAGATTCTGCTTTTGCTGTTTTGGAATATCTTGGCATCAAGCACGACATATAGCGGATCCACCTTGATTCTTCAAACTTTTATATAACTTCCTCGCCAGGTCCTTGTTCTTTTTTCTTTATTGTTTTATTGTATACAAGAAAAGGACTCTTGAGAGGGCATACATTTACAATGGCCCCTCCCGTCGCGTCAGAAGTCGTTTCTGAGCAAGTCCAAGATGACTCTCAAACTATCACCAGGTCTCGGACTTCATGGTACCGCTCTATCCCCTTCCAGATCGCCGTGGCTAGTGGTGTCTCATTCACTGCCCCTGGAATGTGGGATGCACTGAACAACCTCGGAGCAGGTGGTGCCGCCGAGCCCTACGCTGTTTCCGCGGCGAATGCTTTGGTCTACGGATTATTTGCCATTGTTTGTATCGCCGCTGGTGCAATCAACAACCGTATTGGTCTACGCTACGGTCTAGTTCTCGGTGCGATCGGTTACCCGATCTACGGTGCCGGTCTGTACACCAACACCTACCACACCACGACATGGTTCATGCTCTTCGGCTCCGCCCTGTGCGGTATCTCAGCTGGATTTTTCTGGGCTGCCGAGGCCGCTATTATCATTGGTTATCCCAGTCCCAAGGAGCGCGCTTTCTACATCGCTGTCTGGCAGACCGCGAAATCTTCTGGTCCGATCGTCGGTGGTGCAATCAGTCTGGGACTGAACGCACAGACGGCCGGAAAGGGAACGATCAGCGCTTCGACTTATATCGTCTTCATTGTCATTATGTGCCTCGGTCTGCCCATTTCGCTCCTACTCAGTCCTGCTGAGAAGGTGCAGCGCAAGGACCACTCTCTTGTGGTTGTGAACATGAAAGAGAGTTGGGCCAAGGAATTCAAGGCTGCCTTTTCTCTGATCTTCACTCGCCGTGTGCTCCTCCTCCTGCCAGCCTTCTTCATCAGCTACTTCTACAACGGCTTCCAGAGCACATGGCTGACCACCTACTTCACCGTGCGATCTCGCGCATTCTCATCTTTCCTCACCAACTTCGCCGGAATCGCGTCTTCGTTCATCATGGCGCTGCTGCTTGATCGCCAGACCATCTTCATCAAGACCCGCGCCAGAATTGCCTTCTGCTCCGTCGTTGCCCTGATCATCGGCACCTGGATCTGGGCTACTGTCCTACAGAAGCAGTTCTACGACCTACCGGAGCCCCCGGTGTTCGACTGGTTCACACCCGGCTTCAACAAGGCGTACGCGCTGATCTTCTTCTGGACCTTCAGCGGCCAAGCCTTCCAACAATTCCTCTACTGGCTGGTCGGCCAGTACAGCACCGACATCTCATCATTATCCTACCACTGCGGTATCCTGCGTGGATTCGAGGCCCTGGGACAGACCGTCGCATGGGCCATGCAGACCGAAGGCGGCGCCAACCACTTCGTCAGCATCGGTCTCAACTTTGGAATCACGATTATCGCGTTTGTCCCCACGTGGATTGTTTTGTCGGAATTGGAACACAGCCACGAGGTGCAGGTCACCGTGGAGGACGTCCCGTCCAAGATAGTCGACGAGGCAACGGCTTAAGCTCGTCACTCGAATTGAGTCATTTGATTCTTCGATTTGCATGTTCTCCGGATTCAACCCGGGAACTCACGTTTTTATTTAATAGATAGACAAGATACCCCTCATGCTCCTACTCAACGCCGAGCATATGCATAATGTATAAAAATATATGAACCTTTCCAGACAAACTGGGAAGGCCTAGCCGATCGGCTTTATTTGAACTTTCTCCAGATTTCTGTAAAGCATTAGCAAAGCAATTATAGAGCGATTGAGACCTAGAATATATTGGAATATATCCTACATATGAATCGATCTAACTAGATGGCGGTATTATTTCCTACGACGTAAGACCATTCAATACGAAGTTCAAATTAACCTTTAATCTAAAAGCCACCAATATCAGTCTGCATTAAGGTGTGACCAGGGTATGCGCCCGTAATGCTTGATATGTATAGCATACGGGTCTGATATTGTACAGGGGCTATCCATCCGGCTATAGAGCTTAAACGCACGTATGGAAATTAGACGTATACCAGCTCTATCCCTGTTGTATCAATCTTAAACTCAATGTCTCCGATTTGCTCCTATTAGTAGCTGTAAGCCCTAGTCCGAAGGAAAAAGAGCAGACTAGAGACTATCGCATCTTCTTATCCATGTGAGTAATATCCTATCATCCTCGCCAGAAATGACTACCTATGTACATATATATACTTTGCACAAATTAACTATGGCGCGCGTATTCCCCACATAGTCATCGCGCAAGGGAGGTCGATGCACTTTCCCTACAGCCCTACATTGTACACCCTACCCTTGCACTAGATACCTAGATCCACGGTCTTTTATTTCCGTTACGGAAAATTGAGAGCATTTCTCGTATTCAAGAAAAGCAAATATCATTCCTACATATGCGAACAAAGAATCAACAACAGTCGGGGTACCCAGACGGGCCAGTTGCAGCCAAAGGATCCACTCCGCACGAAGCCCTAGAGACTAGCCTCACGATAAGCCCTGCAGGTGTCTGGATGTCGGCCAATACTCCGTACTTTTATTCGGGGAATGTGTACGGAGTAATATATGCCATGGTAGTTATCTGAGCTAGTTCCCCTAGATTTTAGACTTTACCCTATTTCTATTTCTCTCCCGCTTAATCGCTGGTTAGGTTATTCATCGCCATGACTGCCAAAGCACCTGGGCTAGAAATGCAGGACCAGGAGGTGCAAGCCATAGAGCGCGATGCTTTCTCAGAGCATGATTTAAAGGCAGGCGCAGGTGTCGACGACATCGACATGCAGCGAATGGGAAAGGCGCAGGAGTTCAAGGTATGTGTGCGTTTCATGGTGTTGATATATATCCATCTGACATTGTCAAGAGAAACATGCGACCTGTGGCAGCTTTGAGTTTTGCATCGGTTTTGCAAGCGACATGGGAGTTTATTCTCATGTGAGTATGAATATGTCATATTACAGATTATGTCTATTTAACATCTCTGATTCGTGCTGTATTCAGCTCTAATTACGAAGGCTTGTATAACGGAGGCTTACCAGGCCTCTTCTACTCCTATCTATGGACATTCATTGGATTCGGATTCATCATCGCCTCGATTTCTGAAATGGCATCTATGGCTCCGACTTCTGGCGGGCAGTATCACTGGGTTTCGGAGTGGTCTTCGCCTCGATACCAGAAGTTCCTGAGTTATATTACCGGTCTGTTTGTTTACTCTAGTTGGATGTTATTTGTCTGACTATTGTTATTATTCTATAGGCTGGATGTCAGTATTAGCATGGCAAGCCGGAGCAGCCTCCGGCTCATTCCTCACTGGAACTATCATCCAGGGACTGATCAGCGTCCGGAACCCGGATTACGATCCGCAGGGCTGGCAGGGCACGCTCTTCGTCTTTGCGATGGTATTGGTGATTTATATCGTCAATGTGTACGGATCTGACGTGATGCCCGTACTGAACAATCTGCTGATGATTCTCCACGTTGTATCGTGGGCGGTTATTATAATCGTCCTGTGGGTGATGGCTCCGCACCAATCCGCCGAAGCGGTGTTCGTTACGCAGTGGAAGAATTACGGCGGTTGGTCTACGATGGGGTTGAGCGTGATGGTGGGACAGATCTCAGCTATCTACGGCTCTCTGAGTAAGTCTGCAAGCCCGTAGCCCATAGTCCAACCTCATACTGAGTCAAAATAGGCTCCGACGCAACGGCCCACATGTCCGAAGAGGTCAAAGACGCCGCTCGATACGTGCCGATCGCCATGGCCTGGGGCTACTTTAGTAACGGCCTCATGGCGATCGTCATGATCATCACCTATCTCTTCGCCACGCCGTCGGTCGAAGACTCCCTAAACGACGCCACGGGATTCCCGTTCCTGTATGTCTTCCAAAAGGCAACGTCTATCGCCGGAACGAATGGGCTCACGGCGATTATCATCCTCCCCGTGATCTTCAGCAACATCCTCTTCAACGCCTCCACCTCCCGACAGACCTTCGCCTTCGCCCGCGACCAGGGCCTCCCATTCGCGAAATGGATCGGCAAAGTGGATGCCCAGCGGCAGATCCCTGTGAATGCCATCGCGCTGTCCTGCGTCATCAGCTGCGCGTTATCGCTTATCAATATCGGCTCCGAGACTGCGTTCAACGCTATTATCTCGCTCAACGTGGCGGCGCTGATGTACACGTATATTACATCGATTAGCTGCGTGATCTACCGCAAGATCTGGTATCCTGATACCCTGCCGCCGCGTCGGTGGGATATGGGACGGTGGGGACTGGCGGTTAATATTATTGGGCTGTTTTACTGCTGTTTCGCGTTCTTCTGGTCGTTGTGGCCCGGGGATGCCGACGTCACTCTGGAGAACTTTAATTGGAGTGTGGTTATCTTTGTTGGGGTTTTTATCGTCAGTCTTGGGATGTATTTTTTCAAGGGCCGGAAGGAATATGTTGGTCCTTCTGTTATTGTGCAGAATCAGGAATGGTGATTGTTTAGTAGAATTGATGGATGCATTAATCCCGTGCCGATATTTATGCCGTGGCTGTGCATAATATGACCGTGACCGAGACCGAGACCATGACCTACCCCAGCCTCATATTGAAACCTTTGACGTGGAAATCTTCGCTTTTTATTTATAACTTCCGAACGGTCTATCATTTCAGAATGTGAACAATCTCAGCCTGGACCTGGAATCGCTGCCTCGGGATCGTCTTGCGCGTCGAGTAAGAAACCACGGACCGTTGGCCCGTGTGGGTTTCCTAAAAATAGGCCTGCGATCTAGAAATTCAGACCCGAGGTTGGTGAACATGTGTGGTTTCAGGTTTTATACTCGGGCATTCATTGTACGCATTCATTATCATTCGTTAGCTAAAACTCTAAGGTTTGCACAACGGAGGGTGTTCATAAGGAATGCATACAAGGACAGCATGATACTGCATTCTAAGAGCAGACCAATTGGAATAGCCCGGAGGTACCACGCGGTATGAGTTTCTAGAAAGGCTGGAGAAAGGGAAGAAGGGGAGTAAAGGGAATGACAGCCAAAGGGAAAGTCAAATACGAAAAGTGAGACTTTTTATGAAGGTCTTGGGCTGGTCTTGGTATGGAGGAAGCCTAAGTATGTATTTTATAGAGTCTGGGGATTATATTGGAGTGTTTCACAGGCATTATGCCTTGGATCGTAGTTAATAGGATGTCTATGTTGGAATAGGACATGAAGATAATAGCCAAATATAGACGTTGCCACTATATTATAGCCAACTATTAGGAATACAATAGTATTCTATACCTACCCACTGAATAAACTAAAATAAAAACCACAATACCCTGCTTATGCATAAAAAAAAGAAAACCCACTCGAAAAGTACCAGTAGACCTTGGGATTGCGTGGTCCACCGATAAAAACCGTCCATTTCCCTTTCGCCTCTTTGGAAAACTTTGGAAATATCTTCGCTTTTTTCTTCTCTGCAATTCTACAGTTTCACTCTACTCTCGCTTCTCTGTCATCTCCTGTACTCTTGAACTCGTGTAATTCATTTGCTCCACTCTTTTGACAGTTCACACCCCATATCACTTGGGCTACTAGAATCACTAAAACCACCGAAATCATCACAAACACCGAAATCACCAATCACCGCAATCACACTCACAATCCAATCTCCCAGTCTCCTCCCTCACCACTCATCCTATCGTGTCGATCGCTTCAACTAGTGACCAGCCTCACCGTCATTCAATCTACAGCTGAATCGTGATATTCTTGGCAGTTCCCACGCTCCACTCTCAGTGGTAGATCACAACCGTTTCAGACATTCCTTGAATCGCGGACGCTAAGAAAGACCGAACTGCCCCTAATAAAATGGACTCCCCCCAATCTCCCACTCCCCAGAGGAGTCGTGGGTTCAGTGTGAAATCCGACAAGTCAGACAAGTCCGGATCAGCGAGCCATAAACGTGGTCCCTCGGAGTCTTCAGAAGAGAAAGCTCGTCGCAATCTACATACCAAAGCAGATCCACTTATCGCCATGAACGAGCTTCAGCCTAGTATGTTTACCACCTTGTTGGCCCGGTCGCATTTCCTCGCACCTCGCACCTCGCACCTCCCACCTCCCATTCCCCATTTCCCATTTCCCATTTCCATTTCACTTCAACTGACACAAACAATAGTGGCCGTGGCCTTGCAAAAGTCCAATTTGGGCTCACTGCGCGAGCTTGAATTCAAGGATCAATATGGCAATGTTATCAGTCCGTATCACTGGCAATCTTTCCTCCCTGGGACTGTCTCCTAACTCCTTACTTCGTTCAGCCGATCCCGACCTGTCAAATCCCACTCGGCCGCGTCTGGAACGCCCCTTGGATACCATTCGATCGTTTGAGGCTGCTATCTACGGCACAAGTATCAATAACCGTGCGTCATATGCTAGAACAGGTATTGGCACTGTGGAAAGTCACAATGAATAGAGGCTGATTATTTGATAGAGGATGCGTCACAAATGGGTGACTTCAGCCGACGGACCAGCTACTACGGAAGTATGCTATCTCTCCCATCTTCAATCCCATCTTCGATCCCTTCTAATCTTCCCAGGTCAAAATGGTCCATCCAACAGCTACTACGGCCAATCGCGACCAGACAGCATCGTGAACGCGTACCAAAACACGCCTCTCTCACCCGAGGGTTCTGTCCCCTATAACCCGGGATATAATCAGAATGGATATAGCCAAAACGGCAGAAGACGTCCCTCTCACCATCCCCGCGGGTCACCCTCGTCGCCCATTAGCCCCTCCGAGGGCTACCCCAACATCGCCGGCTCGCAATACGGCTACCAACGGTCGCGCGACAACATCGCGGCCATGTCGAACAATTCCGGCACCACAGACTACGGCCAGTCCACAGACCCCAGCTCGATCAACAGCTCCAACGACCAATTGCAGCAGCAGGCTCTGCAGCAACAGCGTCTGGACGAGCGGTCCCAAGCCGAGTACGGGTTCAACGGGTTCAACTCCAAGGCACCCCCTGTCCAGTCGATCAGGGACCCGACCATGGGCGGACCCGTTGGAGGTGTCCCGATCTCCACCACACAATCGACTGTCAGCAAGAAGGGTGAGAAAGCGGATAAAAGAAAGAGCTGGTTCAAACGCCGGTTCAGCAAGGATAAATAAAGAATGTCTATGTGAGATTGATATATCTGGACACTTCATTTCTTTTTCTCCTTTTGTTTGGGAATCTGCAGACTGGCGTTGCTATTTGTTTATGGATATGTGGGGTTGTGTTTATTACTCTTCTCTTTTTTGCTTCTTCACTTCTTTCATCGCATGCTCTAATGAGGTTATGATGCATGGACACATGGGACACGTCATGGATTTGGGACTTATTTTGTTTCTTTGATTATTTTGTTTCTGTTTTTAATTTCTTATTCATATTGATCTGTATCTACTCCACATAGCTATCTCCCATGGTATCCATCAATCTTCCTGTTCGAGATTGGATGTATACTTGCAGGTATCTACATATAAGATCTACTAAATAAGGAAAGAAAGCGTAAATCCACCAGAATCCGGAATGAACCCGGAAATTAATTGATACCGCGAGAATTGGGAATCACAAAAGAAGCACAAGATGAAAAGGCCCAGTATACCCTACTTCCGTCCTAGCAACTTATTCTTCAACTTATCCGCCAATCCCTCATTGGCAACCTTCTTCTTGCCCTTTGTCGCATCATCAAGATGAATATTACCCTGTCCACCACGCTACCAAAAAGTCAGCCTGGGATGCAAAAGCAAGAAGGGAAAAAAACGAAAGTAAAAAGAGCCGCATCCGGAAAGAGAATACGAAAACCATAACCGGGATAATCAATCATAAAACAAATCAAACGCAAAGCAAAACAGCTCTCTGCTTACCCCAATATGGAAAGTTTCGTCTGTGGAGTGGCGGACCGCAAGCTCGGGGATCATCTCGGTGTCGTGGGGAACCTTGGACGTGGGGCGCATCATCGGGGAGCCGATATTTCCTGCGCCGCCTCGCTGGAGTTGTATCAGTATTTGTATCGCTAAAAGACTGGATTTGGGTGTTGAAAGTATAGATATAGGTATAGGTAGGTAGGTAGGAAGGTAGGTAGGTAGGTACTCACGCCGGCAGAGTAAGCGCCATCACCTTGGTCGCCGTAGTTTCCTTCGCGGACGATCTCGCCATCGACGTATCTATTCGATGTTTAGTATTTATCGCTTGCGCTTGTCGCTTGTGATAGATGAGGACATACTCGGTGTTATCCTTGCCGATGTTGCCTTGACCTAATATTCGAGCTTGTTAGTTGGTGGGCGCGATGACGCATAGACTCGGGTGCTTGCCTCCTCGGCCGTGAGAGACGATGGGTGCCTCGGACGTGGATGCCTCGGACGTGGATGCCTCGGGCTCTGTCTTATCGGGCATCTTGACTGGTTCTTGTCAGAGATAGATGTTCAAGTCGGTGTATATGTCGTTGCAAATAGTGGCGGGGTGGTAGATGCGAAAGGAAGAATGGTGGGGCAGGGAAGATATTTATCGATGGGGCGATACATGCAGGTACAGATGCGATGGCGGGGAAATCCACGTGAGCTTACTGTTTCTTAAGTCGTACGGGGAATGTAGAGAAGTGGATTTTGGGGGGATCTAGATCTTTTTAAGTATAATCCACCTGGATGGTAGCTATCGGGTAGATAATACAGGGATTCGCAGCCAATAAAGGTGGTTCGTCGTGAAATGAGCCAAGCGGTTCCCGAGGTCCCCTATTTCGCTTGTCTAGTTATCTAAGTTGGATGTCATTCGGATGTTATTCAACGACATTGACATTTTATATTCGACAACTGCAGGGACGATAAGATACCGGCCTCCGATTGGTAGAGGCGGCCACTGACAAACTGTAATTGGCCGATAGCGAGCTTGGCGGTTACTTTATATTACGATGATAACTAGAGAGAGTATGTATTACTTGATAGAATATCGCAGTAGCCGCCGAGATGGTAAGAGAATAATGGAGTTGTGCATACTACTACCCGAATCAAACCAGACACCTTACTTCGTCTTTTTGTCTTCACTTGAGCCACCGGTGGTAGGAAGTCCCATGAAAATCTTGAATGAATCGTAGCTGTAGAATCAGGGTCAGTATATATCCACACAAACCAAACAAAGCGAGACCATACATCATCCATTGGAGTCCAGTCTATACGAAGATGTTAGCACCTAGCTTAACCACACTAAGCATAAGCAACTCACCAAAGTACCAATCATCACAATACGAACAGGCAGTCCGTTCCACAATCCCCGGAAGCCAATGTCACCATAGATGCGGCTCATAGCAGCACCGAATGCCTCACCCGCCAGTCGATTCGCGTTCAACTTGCTGACCATAACATCGGCAGGGTGCGATACCGCAGCACACAGAATACCAGCGAGGTAACCGCCGGTGAATGCAACGGCAGTCTGTGCACCCTTGTTGTAGTCGGACTTCTGGCCTGGCAGATTGTGGTAGATCATCTCAACGATAGTCTCGAAGGAAGCGAACTTCATCATCGTGTAGGGGACTTGACGGCCCCACAGCGGGTAAAGACCTTTGTACAGACTGGTAGGGTGAGCATATAGATTCGATTCAGAACAGAAGGATACATGTCAACTCACCCAGCAACGCCCTCCTTGGCAACAACGCCCGAAATACCACTGAAAGTACCTGTAATCTCAGGGGGAATGGTAGTCTGACCACGCACCTTGACAGACTCGAACGGACACAGCGCTAGATCTGCGATGAACTCTGCTGAGGCACTGGCTGTCAGGTAGATGGCAGTCTTGAACCGGTTCGCGTTCTCCTGGCCGACCAGGTCGCTGTAGAATACCTTGAAGTACTCGTATCCTCCATACTTGAAAGCTCCTTGGGCCTGTATACCATCAGTATAGATAATTAAGGTAAAAGACCCACAGGTTACCCAGGCTTACACTGTAGCCGAAGAACGTAGGACTCCAGCCCGTAAAGACACCACGAATACCTTCAGCCGCACGTATAGTGTGGAAGGCTTGTAGGTTGCTCTTATAGAGCTTGGGATCGACCTGGCGGCGACATTTAATCAGGTCGAGGGGTGTCACGGCAGTGTGGGTAAGGCCCTGATATACGTGAGTACCTGGCGATCATAATTCAGACAGAGAAGCTACTGACACACGCCATCATTCCACCAAATGTGCACGCTACATAGTACTTCAGAGAGCCAGGCTGGATCTTGCCGGTCTTCTGCTGGGCCTTCTGGCTTGCGGCATTGAATTCCCGGCTTGCCTCATTGGCAATGTCGTCGGCCTTGGTCTTCACGTCGTCGACTGCACTCCAGGCTGTGAACGGTCTGTTTTTCGCGGACTTCGCATCGCTCACGGCACCCAGAGGATGCTGGGCGGCGAAAGCGTTGATCCAGTCCGGAAGCATGGTGTACTTCGGGTAGTGGGTATAAGTGGAGTCGGCTTGATATCCGGTGATCTCCACCAAAGGGTGGGTTTTGAGTGATACTGATGTGTTTCTTTCTGTTGAATCTGTATGAGAGATTGAATATAATTGAAATGAGGTGGGAAATCAAGATCCCAAGACAATGACGTGCGGAGGTTGTAAGTGGCGCTGGCGGGGTACAAGGATAGTACGGGGTACTCCGGACTTTTGAGGAGTATGACTTCAGTCTTGATATGTACTCTGGGGAAATTAATTCTTACTCTTTAAATAACAGCTATCTGAGATTGAATGGACTTATAGCTATCTCCGTGTAGTCTGTGCCTTTTAACATGCTGCAACATGTATACATGCCATGCCCCTGGCCAGGATTACAATCCTAGGCCAAGAGAGAACCCCGTTTGTATATATACTTAGGGGAATATATTCCGCAAAGTAGATTCTATAATTCTAGATCGGGGCATCTATTATAACATTTCCTAATGCTATGTTTAATTGCCTATGATCTGGACATACTTACTCTATATATAGTGGGTGATGTTATACCGACCAGAGGCCGTCTTAAGTCCGTAATTTCCTACTTTTCTTTATGCCCTTCTAATTATTGAAGTACACTCTAGGGCTAAATTTGCAATCAAAAGCAAGCAGAGAGAAAATAGAAATATAGATCTGATAGCCTCCGTGGCCGCAAGCGTCTTCCGTAGTGGAGTTAATGCCAAGCTTGACATCAAAAAGTCATCCCCAAGGTTGCAAGCTCTTGACCTGCACGACTTAGGTATACCTACTGAGAACCCTTACTTGAATTCTCAATCTTTACACCTGGACAATTATTCTCCACTTTCCAGCTACCTGTACTTCTTCTCAACAACCCTCCAACTCTCCAACTCATCCACTGCCCCTCACCAACCCCTCATCCCGATCAAACTCAAAATGGCTTCATACTCGACCGCTAGCGAGGCCTTCACCCGCGAGAAGCAAACCCCCTCCGACACAAATACATCTACAGCAGCCTGGGCCGACAAGTACCGCGGTGTCCGTCTCCCCAATCCACCCATCTGGCCCAAACTAACAAAAAAACAGGCAACAATCGAAGATCTCGACCCTCCCGCGGCGCTCTCAATCTCCTCCGAAGACCCAATCTCCACAGCCCTAATGGCCGCCTACGAGCGCGACTACACGCACCTCACCGTTATCTCCCCGACAAAGCGCTCCCTGCTAGGCTACCTCAGCATCCCACGGCTACGGGAGCTGCTGCAGAGCGGCACCGTGAAAGAAAGCGACCCCGTCTCCGCGGCGATGCAGCGGTTTAACCGCAAACGCGGTCTCTACCAGGTCATCACGATGAACACGCCGCTCGAGGAGCTCGAGAACTTCTTCGAGAGCGAGACGGGGCCGAATGGCGAGAAGCGCGAGAAGCAGCAGTTCGCTGTGGTTACCGATGAGGCGCGCAAGTTTGTGCTGGGTGTTGCTACCAAGGCGGACTTGGAGGAGTTTGTCAAGCGCAGACCTACCTAAGTGGATGTGGAGCTGAGAATGGGAATATGTGAGAGTGATTTCTGTTTGGCAATGCATATCGGCGTATCTGTCTATACTGGGGCATGGGTCGAGGTCTTTCTTGTCTCTAGATGCGGTTCTTTCAACATGAACAGCGCTTTTTAATGGCCTTGACATTGAAGTATGGGGCTTGATATCTTGGGGATATCCGAGATATCTAACAGTAAAATGAATAGCTCAGTCAATGTATAGTTTTACAATTGAGTCCTTGGATGGTTGAAGTTGTTCCATCCCAATTATACATAACAGAAACCCCAACCACCTGAACAATGCCGTAACGCCGAAAATAATCATTTTCCTCAGATCCGGTTTATCCAACCTACTGGGCTTTCTTTGAATCTGGCTTGCTGGCCGCTTGTCTATCCTCCTGGTCTTCCATCCAGGCGACGTAGATATATGCGAACAAGACCGCGTTGGCGGTAACGGCGGCGGTAATTCCGGCGAGTGTCGAGCTCCCTGAATAACATCAATTCAATTAGTATATGTCATTGCAAGTTGAACGCAGAAATACTCACCACTGAAAATTGTATTCACAGTCAAGAAATACATGCCAATAGGGCCAATGATCATGGCAGCTGTGAAGCCGAGCAGCTTGTAGATCACATCTCTAAATACCAGAGCTAATAAGAATATGTCTTCGAGAATCAATTTAAGCTTCTAAGGTCATTATCTTACGCAGGAACAGCTGGGGCCACGTCGGAAGTGCCTTGCGGTTCAGGCTTCGCCGCAACATCGGCGTAGGACTGGTTGTGGGGGCGTCGGGAAGACATCCTTGTTTCTTTAGGGCAACAATATCCAAGTGAGTCAAATGCAAAGGATGTAAAAGGGAGGTCTGAGAGACAAAGGAGCTGAAGCTATCGCAAGTGCGGAGAGAAGGTTAGTGCCCGCCGTCACATGGCATTTGATTGGTGGGTTGAGGTATATGCCATGTGACTCCTTATTGTCTCATTGTCTCATTCCGATTCTGTTCGCTGCGGTTCATTGTTCATTCACAAAGTAGAGAACTAAGCCTGATTCAGTCGTCTTTATGAGGCTTAACTGCTCAATATGTCTCACCTCTTTGTTCTCATTCACAGCTTAATTGACGGCTCTCACACGTGATTGGGCGCGTCCGATCGCGCGTGTCCGCTTTGGCAGAAAAAACGTTCCTGAATAGCGCTGAACAATTAGATGAGTCGATGATTCAATGACATTGTTGTATTGAGAGCAATGGAAGAAGCTATCAATAGTACTCCCCCTCGAGATATAAAAACCATCCCGAGTACCCCTCCCGGCGAAGACTACGAAACTATCGCAACTCTCCCAGCGATAACCCCATCGCAAAGATTGACCCAACCAACACAACTACTTGAACATCCCTACTCAAGACATAACAATACTGTCATTCAAGTTGCTGCATCTTCACCGCTTGGCCCTGCCTTTTCTCCTCCCCGCCGAGTCCAAGGCGGTCTACTTTCATCCTTGATCGCTCCTTCTGGGACGCAATTTCGCCCTCCTGCCTCTGGTCCTACCAAACGAACACCGCGGTTTGATCTCGACGACGGCCCGACATATCGAGGTGGCTCTTCAGACGAAGAGTGTCATCTACAAAGTACCGACATAAAACCGTCCATGTTTGCGAAACCCCCTCGGGATTCTGAAAAAGAAAAGATCATGGAGTCGCCCGTGCGCCCTGATGCTGGGGCAATGGATCGGTTCCGAGAAATTACAGCCTCTGCCATGTACGATCCGAAGAACGCTGGAACCGCCACCAAGCGGACTGCAGATCAGATGAGTCCGCCGGCACCCAAGGGAGTTGCCACGAAGAAAGCCCGCCAGGATGCGCCCTCTCGCGCGCCACCTTCAGGAGTTCCAGACATCCCCCTTCACGAAATCAACGACTTCAGACTCCGTGTTAAAGTTGAGCGTATTCTCAAAGTTATGCCGCATATGACTGTTCTAGCCTGTATGGATGCGATGTTGAAAGCAAAGGGAAACTACGACGGCGCGCTCCAGATCCTTGCCCAGATGGATTCTGAAAATGGTCCTGTGGTGATTGCATCCTCCGATGATGAATTGAGTGCCTCCCCCGCTACAGGCCCCGTTCCCATAGCCAAGCAGAACATCAAAGCCCGTGGCACCATCCAGGACAAGTGGGCAGCAATGAAGCAGCCCAAGGGCCACGAATCCGATGACGAAGGAAAGCCTCGTCGCCGACTCGTTCGTGGACCCAAGTCTGATGGTTCCCGTGCTGTTTCTCCTTCCCGTGCTATCACAATCAAGGATGACAGTCCCCCGAAAAATAAGTTGGGACGCCTTCAGAAGGGGCGCAAAGCTCCTTCGCCCGACCGATCCGAGTCCCCCGAGGCTATGATGAGTGATTCGGACGATTCAAACGCTCAGGTCCAAGAATCCACCGCTGGCGGTTTGGATTCCAAGGTCCTGAAATTCTTCAACACATGTCGTGTTCAGGATCTCGCTGATATCGCCTCTATCCCCGAAGCAACCGCAGAAATCATCATTTCGAACCGTCCATATGAGACTCTCGATGAAGTTCGTGTTGTCTCTGCTCCAGTCGCACAGACTGTGAAGCCCAAGGGCAAGAGAGGAGGCAAGGCCCCCAAGCCCATCGGAGACAAGATTGTCGACAAGTGTATTGATATGTGGACTGGATATCTGGCCATTGACGCTCTTGTTGGCGAGGTTGAGGAACTCGGCAAGCCTGTCGCTGAAGAGATGAAGAAATGGGGTGTCGACACCTTCGGGAAAAAGGGCGACTTGGAAATCACCAACCTTGCTCCTGCCAAATCAGAACATGACTCTGGTATTGCAACTCCCACAACTGAACGTCAATCTTCCGAAAGTGACGAAGAAAGCGACAAACTGGTCGTTTCTAAGCGCAAATCTCGTTTTATCTCACAGCCTTCTATCATGGCCGACGACCTGGTAATGAAAGATTACCAAGTGGTGGGAGTCAACTGGCTGGCATTGTTGTTTGAAAAGAACCTCAGCTGCATCCTGGCTGATGACATGGGCCTGGGTAAGACCTGCCAGGTCATTGGATTCCTCGCGCATCTGTATGAGAAGGGCATTAAGGGCCCTCACCTGATTGTTGTCCCATCTTCCACCATTGAGAACTGGCTTCGCGAGTTCCAGAAATTCTGTCCGGTCTTGAACGTCATGCCTTACTACGCCGGTCTCAATGAGCGTGCTCTCATCCGCGAGGAGATCGAGGAACGACGTGACGAGATCAACGTTGTGATCACTACCTACACCATTGCCAAGGCAAAGCTTGATGCTAAATTCTTGCGTGACATGGATTTCACTGTCTGTGTCTACGATGAAGGTCACATGCTGAAGAACCATCAATCTCAGCTGTACGAAAAGTTGATTCGAATTCGGGCACGTTTCCGTCTGCTTCTCACTGGTACTCCTCTCCAGAATAACTTGCAGGAGCTGGCATCTCTTCTCGGCTTTATTCTTCCCTCGGTCTTCCGCGAGCACAAGGATGACCTTCATGCAGTCTTTTCCAACAAGGCAAAGACCACCGACGAGTCCCACGCTACTCTCCTATCTCAGCAGCGCATTGAGCGCGCAAAGTCCATGATGAAGCCCTTTATCCTCCGACGAAAGAAGCACCAGGTCATTGATCTTCCAGCCAAGCACTCCCATGTCGGTTGGTGCCAAATGAAACCTTCTCAGGTCAAGATTTACGATCACGAAAAAGCAGAAGTGCGCCAGCTCGTGGCAGACCGTCTTGCTGGAAAGAAGACTGGATCGAAGTCCGCCAACATTCTCATGAAGCTGCGCCAGGCCGCTATTCACCCCCTCCTTGCTCGTCGTCACTACACCAACGAGATTCTACAGAAGATGGCCAAGGCCTGCCTGAAGGAAGACAAGTGGTCGCTATCCGACCCTAACATCATCTACGAGGAGCTCATGCCATACAACGACTTCGAGTGCCACCACATGTGTGTGGAGAACCCCAATTCCCTCGGCAAGTTCAAGCTCAAGAACGACGAATGGATGGACTCCGGTAAGGTGGAGCACCTCAAAGAGCTTCTCACCCGTTTCATCGCCAATGGCGATCGCACCCTCATCTTCTCTCAATTCACGATGGTGATGGACATCCTTGAGCACGTCCTGGAAACCCTGAAAATCGAGTTCGTCCGCCTGGATGGCCGCACCAACGTGGAGGACCGCCAGTCCATCCTCGACGCCTTCCACGAGCGCACCGAGATCCCCGTCTTCCTCCTGTCCACCAAGGCTGGTGGTGCCGGTATCAACTTGGCCTGTGCCAACCGCGTGGTCATCTTCGACTCTTCCTTCAACCCACAGGAAGATGTGCAGGCCGAGAACCGTGCGCACCGCGTGGGCCAGACCCGCGAGGTCGAGATCTACCGTCTGGTGACCAAGAGCACTATCGAGGAGCAGATCCACGCACTGGGCCAGACCAAGCTGGCACTTGACCAGGCCGTGGCTGGAGATGACGAGGCCGGGGCCAAGAAGAGTGAGGAGGTCGGCATGAAGGCCGTCGAGGAAATGATGATTGCCGAGCTGGAGGCGGAGGCAGCGGCGGAAGCAGCGGCGGAAGCAGCGGCAGCTGCAGAGAAGTGAGCGAGCCCAAAGAGAAGAGAAAACAAGAAAACAAGAAAACAAAAAAAAACAAAAAAAAGGGTACACTGGAGTTTCTATTGTGAGTATCTGCATGGCGATGCAGAGAATGCATAATACTGGTGTTTGGGGGGGATCATTTGTTAGATTAGAGGATCAAATCCAACTACCATTGATTTAGTACACGACGTTGTAAGCTTCATAAAGCGCAGAGTGATATGTATTGTAATAAGGACTAGATAGTCATCAAGGAGCATGGTGTATGTAAGTGGGGAATAATCTATAGAGAGAACAGATGAAAGTAATCATAAACACCTCAGAATGCAGATAAAAGCAAGATAAAAGGAAGAATGAACCGAGAGAAAACC